GATAATATGCATCAGTATATAATTGGTTCGAGATCAATGAACAAGAGGTTAAGCGACTTCATAAATTCCAACCACACTTTTCCCTCCGAAATTTCCAAGACCTTTTATTTTCTTATTTTGTAGATTTTTTAGTTTATTTTATCGTATTTCGAATCTTATGTTTTTAATTATGTGTGTTTCTTTTGTCGTTAGAATTAGAATTAATTAGAGTAGAGTAATCAAAAGTATACATTCCCGGTGGGATCGACAATCCGGACTCTTAAGATCCACGTTTACTACCTGTTCTCGACCCGTGCGCTTGCGGTACGATTTTCAGTGAATAGGTTGTCCTTCAGTTTTGGAGACCAATTTTCCAACTGCCATTGGTGTTAGACTTGGTTTGAGGTTCTAATAACCGAACCTTTTTGAGTAGATCAGTAGCATACCTTTTTTGAGTTAGATATAAACCTGATATATCCCTGTGCACCTCCATTCCCAAAAACTGAGGTTCCCAATATCCTTAAGAGCAAAACATGTGTTCAGATTGTCAATAACTTCTTGGAGTTTTTGACCGTTATTCCCAGTTATTATGATATCACCCACATAGGCAAGTAGTGCAAACAATTTTTCTTTACCATCTGCAGAGAAGAAGAGTAAATTGTCAACCTGGGATTGCTTGAAGTTCCATTTCATCAAGGTAGGTTTGAGCTTTTGATGCCAGGCTCTTGGAGCATGTTTCAATCTATATAAAGCTTTCTCTAGCTTGCATGAGAAATCCAGATTCTCCTTATCCACAAAGCCCTGAGGCTGGTCCATATATACTACTTCATTCAACTTGCCATTTAGAAAAGCATTGTTTACATCAATCTGCCTGATATGCCAACCTCTTGTAATAGTAAGAGTAAAGATGATTTTTAGAGTTGACGCTTTGATAACTAGACTGAAAGTTTCTCCACCCCTTGTGTTTGAAGAAAACCTTTGGCAACTAACCGTGCTTTATGTCTCTAAACCTCTCTTTCTGTGTCACGCTTTAAACTGAACACCCATTTGTTTCCAATTACTTTCATTCCAGCCTCAGGAGGTACCAATGTACATGTTTCATTTTTCACCGGGGCATTGTTCTCCTCTTGCATTGCTTTCTTCCAATCATTGCTTTGTAAGTCGTCATCAACTGATAGAAGTTCAGTTTCACTTTGTGCCTGACTTGTATAGACCTTGGGCTTGAAAATTCCTGCCTTGCAGCAGCTTGTGTGACATTTTGATCCTGAATGTTAAGTTCATTACTTACAACTTGAACTCCGTATTCCCATTTATTGATGTCCTCAAACTCCAAATCAGTTTGTTCATTTTGGTACAACCTTTGATTGTCAGCTTCTTTTATTTCAAACTCCAACTCATTGCTTGGTTCCATATGAGAAGAATCTGTTGTAGGTAGTGTATCTGAGTGAGTTGTATCAGCTATGTTATGATTAATTGTTATGTGACTAGATTCAGTGTTAAAAGGAAGAAGACTTCCAGTAATTTGAGAATTTTATGGTTGTGACACTTTTTGTTTAGGAAGCCTGACTTGAATGGAAAGTCTAACTCATTGAATATTAAATATCTTGAAATATGAATTCTACCATTTGGGCTTAATCATTTATAGCCTTTATGTGTGTCACCATAACCAAGAAATACACTTCTCTGTGAGTGGAAACTAAACTTGTGTTTTTAGTAGGGTCTAAGGCAGGGATAACATGCACAACCAAAGGTTTTGAGAGTTTTGTAATGAAACTCTCTTCCATATAGCACTTGAAAAGGTGATTTGTGTTTAAGTATGGGAGTTGGCAGTCTGTTGCTGATTAAAATGATTCCCACTAGTAGTATAGGGACATTTTTGCTTTTGCCAACAAGGTTAGTTTGGTTTCAGTGATGTGTATACGTTTCCTCTCTACTCTACCGTTTTGTGCTGATGTGTAGGACATGAATACCTAAGTTATATGCCAAATTCAGAGGTGATTTTGTTAAAGGTTCTGAACTCTCCTCCCCTATAAGATTGTAGGGCTTCGATTTTCCTTTCAAACTTATTTTTTACAAGATTTTTGAACTGAATGAAGATGGTAAGTGCTTTAGAATTGTGTTTCAAGGGATAGATCCATGTGAATCTGCTATGATCATCCACAAAGGTTATATAATACTTAAACCCTGTGGTAGAATTTAGAGGTACAGATCCCCAAATATCAGTATGAATTAAGTCCAACGGCTTTGAAGCATGTGAAGAGGATATTTTAAAAGGTAATGCATATGATTTTCTAATTGAAGCTGAAATTTCATTAACTTTGAAAAGTTTATTACAAGGCTTCATAACTTGACTCAAAACATGGTTTGAAAGGTGGCCTAGTCTTCTGTACCACACATTGATTTCAGACTTGAGTGGCCTGATTGGTTTGGTTAGTTCACCACAACTGGACTTCACTGTGAAACAGGTGGAGTTGTTTTGGATGTCTGACTCTTAGGTTGTGAGTTTGGGGCAAGACGTTGGTAATCTCAGCTGTTATAACCCATCTTTAAGCACTCCCTATAGTATTTTTCAACGTATGAAATTTTCAAAGAATTTCCATCACCAATTAGAACTTTCTCTTTACCTTCATATCTCCTGGCAATGGACAGGTTCCTTTTTTATTAGCTGTGACGTGATTGCTTGCACCAGTGTTTGCAAACCAGGCCGAGTCTTCAAAAAATTGAGGTGAGGCTACAAACGTAGCAGTAGTTGAGCTGCTGTTTTGCTGATTTTGATTTGCAGGTCTACTTTCCATGAATCTATCATCATATTTGTTGAAACACCAACTTGCTGAGTGATTGTTCAACCTACAAATCTGACAGGGTCCTCAACTTTCACTTTGCCTATTAGTTCTACCTCTGAAGTTTCCAGATCTCTCTCTAAATAACCTACTACCTCTAGAGCTTATCCTTTGAGTAAGTTGCACACTTGATTGACCAACGTTGAGTGAAGCAAAGTTGCTTCTTACTTGATTTAAGTACTCAAGTCTACTTTCAAAGGTCATGAGTACAGAGGACAACTCATGCCATGATATATTTTCACAACTGTTGATCTGCACAACAATAGGAGTATATTCATCATCCAGTCCTGCCAAAACTCAAGTTACCAGATCACTATGATCCACTGGTTTTCCAACAACTTGAAGGTTGTCAGTAAGTTGTTTGATAGTAGAAAGGTATTGATCCATAGTCATAGATCCCTTCCTTGTTCTCTGTAGTTCACCAGTAAGGAATACAATCCTTGATTGTTTAGAATACCATAGCTTTCTTCTACAGTAGTTTATAGAGTGCTTGAACTGGTGTAACCCATCACTCTCATTGCTATCTTTGGC